TTGCATATCTCACACACGCACACACACATACACATACACACATATATATATATATATATATATATATATATATATATATATATATATATATATACACGATGGAAAGGATGACAATTTGAACATATGAAATATAAATTACTAAATAATATAAATTAATAATAATAGAAACAATTGTAGTTAGAATCTAATTTCTAATAATACACATTTAAACCGTCGCTCAACGTCATTCATGTTTTGTGACGCTAATGTGAATTTTGCATTGGTGAAATAAAATTATATTTCATTTTTTGATGCCACCAGTTCATCGGCGAAACATGTTAAAGGCCAAGTATTCAAATTTCATTATATGTGTATGCACATTCTTTTTCCTTTTTACATCGATTTATAATACTCTTGTAACTATATATATATATATATATATATATATATATATAATTATTTTTATAAAAAAAATTATAACATAAGTATGTTATAAAATCACTACAAAAATACCCATTTTGTTTCAACACACTCTGTGTCTTATCAAGTGATGATGTTGAAAAGAAAATAAATGGTTTTAAAAGTTTCAGATTAATTAACGATCCTACACTAGGGGGAAGCATTGTTACAAAAGCTAGAATAACCAATCAAAAACGAAGTATAGAACGATTCAAAAGCTTGACAACGAAATCCTGCTCTAATAGCTATTCAGATCTTTAAATACGTGTAATATTAAAAATAATGTGTGTATTTAGGTTTATATGTATATGTGCGTACATGTGTACTTGTTATCATAGATATGTATATGTACGTATATGTTTATGTTTTTATATATTTATTTGTATGTATTTCTGTATGTATATATATGTATGAGTATATATTTATGTGTGTTAATTTGTTTTTGCTGCCGTGTATGTATATATATATATGTATATATTTGTGGATTTCTTTATCCTGTTTTTCTTTGCCAAATATATAATGAAACTATTATCAACTTATATGATTAATAATATATATATTTTTATTGATATTTATGGTTTTAGAATTTTCGTTTTAATATATTAAATAATATTATTTTAAACATTTTTATCTTTGTATATTTGCTCCCCTTAAGTTATAATTCAATAAGTGGTTAGCATTTATTTAAGTCTGAAATATTTACTGGTTGTGATTTATCAATGTCTATGCCATTGTCTGTGGATGTATGTATGTGTATATATCGGTGTCTATGTGTATGTAGAGTGTATTCACATTTAACTGTGTGTGTGTATAAGTGTTAGTTTCCACGTCTCCTTTTTTCATAAAGGGCTGTAGAGATGTTCATGTATTCCCCCCACCTCTCCTTTTTTTTTTTTTTTTTTAGTGTGTGTGTATGTTTGTGTGTGTGTGTATGTATGTGTGTGTGTGTGTGTGTGTATCTAATTATGTCTGGATGCTTATGTATTATAATCTGATTGTGTTTTTTTGTTGTGTCACGCGTGAGTTTAAGACCATATTCACAAACTTTAAAATAAAACGGAAAAAAAAGGGAAAAAGAAAAAAATATATATATACATGTATTATCAAATGACCGGATGTATTGTCGTCTTGTCTTGTCGAACGTAATTTCAATGAAGAAATGAATTGAATAAACATATATATTTTTCTTTTCTCAATAATTTTGTAGTTTTTAAACTTAATAGTGATTAAATTTGGATTTTTAAAATTGCCAGTTTTTTAATTTTAATATTAAATTTTATCATGTAAATTTATAATTATTAGTTAGTATAAATTATTTTTTAATATTACACGTATTTAAAGATCTGAATAGATATTAGAGCAGGATTTCGTTGTCAAGCTTTTGAATCTTTCTATACTTCGTTTTTTGATTGGTTATTCTAGCTTTTGTAACAATGTTTCCCCCTAGTGTAGGATCGTTAATTAATCTGAAACTTTTAAAACCATTTATTTTCTTTTCAACATCATCACTTGATAAGACACAGAGTGTGTTGAAACAAAATGGCTATTTTTGTAGTGATTTTATAACATACTTATGTTATAATTTTTTTTATAAAATAATTATATCTGCTCTACTTTGTATTGAGCACTCTTTTTAAGAATAGTAATTGTTGGTTATTGGAATTCATTCCGTGTATACCAATTATATACTTTAGTATATATATATATATATATATATATATATATATATATATATATATATATATATATATATATATATGCGTGTGTGTGTGCCTGTGTGTGTATATATATGTATATATATATGTTTTGTATGTACAATGCTATTTCCACCTCACTTAGTTTTCAAATGCTCTTTGAAATATATATATTGTCTGTATGTGCATGCGCGCTCTTTGTGTGTGTGCGTGTGTCTGTATGCGCGTGCATCTATCTGCGTATGTTTCACTGTGTGCGTTTCTGTGTGTGCGTGCGCGCGTGCGTGTGTCTGCGTGTGTGTGTGTGTATGTGTGAGTGTCTTGTGGTTTCAAATTCTGTTTCTATTGTGGGTTATTTCGTCTGACCCATCTTTGACACATTTCTTCTTTTATAATTCACTGTCTTTCTATCTTCTCTTTTTTTTTTCTTTTTCTTTTTTTTTTTTTTTTTTTCTAATTTCCTGTCAAACGCAAGCGATTCTCCAGCATGTTCATTGTCATGTGGATCTCCTTGTCACCTGTACGGATATGTCACCGACCCGATTGAGATTCTCAAACGACATTAAGTTGTCACACTATGTTAACCGCTTGCAAACGAAGCAGGCGCATTTTTCAATGCTTTTACCTGTCCGTGTCCTTCGTACTTATTATTCACTAACGGACCAACGTGATAGTTGCCCAAATATTAAAAAGAACAATATCACTGTATTTTTTCATATGTAAATATGCGTAGTGAAATAAACGTAGTGGAATTGATGTCTAGCGCAAATCGATTCGTTGTCTGATTCTTATTGACAAAGAAATTAATATTGTTTGTCCTTCAACTTGGTAAACTTTAATTGAAATTTACCATATAGGTTCATTCGAACTAATTTCCTCACCGTATAAAAAAAGAATTATGCGTTTTTATGAATTAATCAGATGTATTTTTATTACGTTAAATTTTTGGTGGTTACCCATATTCGAGTAGACGCCCCATTCATATTTAAACAGTAATTTATTTCGTCGACTGTCGTGAACTTCCGGCAACTCTTATTAGAAAAGAATTCGACACCGTCAAGATACGACGAAATTTAAACCATCTCGGCTACGCGATTTAAAACAATAAGCAGCACGTCTACTCAAATATATGTATTAATTAAAAATAGAGTTTAGTATATATATATATATACTGAAGTATTTAATAAGAAAAAATGATTTACAAGCCATAAAATTAGGGTTTCCAGTCCATAATTTTATTCAAAAACAGGTCGAATAATTTAAAATAACAGTCCCCGCTTATAAACAGGAAATAAATAATGTTATTACCCATAATGCCCAACATGGAACTAAGATGACGTTTAGCAATTGACTGTCGGTATCCCCGACTTTAAGCACATTTACCTTATAAATATTGCATAACTTAAAGCTATATATATATATATATATATATATATATATATATATATACTAGCCGGTAGCACGACGCAATCTTCTGGTTATATTATTTAAATTTTAAATATCTGGTTAACGTGATGTCGACGCAGATCATATATGATACGGAGATTACTTAGTCCTCCTACCGGTAAGGAATAAAATGTATATTAATTATTATAAATATAATAGCTCTGTTATATTACATCGAGAAATATCTTATTAACGCCAGAATTCAATGTGCGATATCTTATATATATATATGAGTTACTCCCCAGAATTTTTGAGAGTTTTTTCACAGTGGTCATTTATTTCAAAATACAAAACTATAATCTCCCTAAAATTAAGGCACTCCAAATTCAATCCATCTGTTGTAGGGCTTCAGCTACTTCTTCAGGGCACAGTCGAACGGCTAAAATCCGAAGGCGTCCAGAGTCCATGTCGTAGCCTTTTTCATCTCTTCCTCAACGTAGTCAACAGGTTAATTCTTCATCATTGGCCATTTCCCAGGTTTCTCCAGCTCCTCTGCCGTGTTAAAAAGAAATCTTTATTGCATAGCCAACCCCCATGTATTTCTCCGTTTCCATTAGTAAGCTGTGACAAATTATGTGTAGTAGATAGCGTTTAGATGTAGGCCTGTGCATTAGGTAGTGTTTTGTGTGCTATAAATAATTCCATATGTAAACTTACTAGCTTATTTAATATCCCAGCCCGAAGATTACGTATTCGCGAGCATAGTAGATAAGGCAAAAAACTAGAATTTTAAAGAAAGAATGAGTCAATTGCGCTATTAATATTTTATATATATATATATATATATATATATATATATATATATATATATGATAAAACGCTTTAGGAAGAAGAAAGTTTCTCCGCAAGGAAGTCAACTAGTTAATTACTTTTTAAAATGCATGCAACCCTCATTTTTTAAGCAATATATCGAAATACAGTGGTTAGGGTTAACCTTTGGCCTGTTGTATATATATATATATATATATATATATATATATATATATATATATGTATATATATTGATAATATTAGTGGTAAATATACACATACATATGCAATCATACGCACATTTCATTGAATGCGACAGACAAGGTAATTTGATTCAGTTTTTTATACAATTTCTCATATGATCTAATAGTTTTTTTTTCTTTTCAGATGATATATTATATAAAAACTGCCCGAATGTTTCTTATTTAACAGTCGAAACATTTAATCCTTGAAAAAGGCAAAATGTATAGCTGAAAGCACTTGGAGAAAAAGAACATTCGGGCAGTTTTTATATAATTTACCATCTGAAAAGAAAAAATTATTAGATCATAAGAGAAATTGTATAAAAAAACTAAATCAAAGTACCTTGTCTGTCGTATTCAATAAAATGTGCATGAAAGAGGGATTACTACCTAAATACGCACACACACACACACACACACACACACACACACACATAGATAGATAGATAGATAGATAGATCAT